AATAATGATAATAATACATGTAATACTAATAATAATAATAATAATAATAATAATAATATTAATAGTAATAATAATGTACTTCATTTCTATAGCGCCCACGCCCGTGTGAATACAACTCTTGCCACTTTATATAAATGCATGTACGAACAATATTCACACAGAAAATACACACACGCACACACACACACACACACACACACACACACAAACACACACACTCACGAATACATTACAAGCACACACGTGCACATACATAAAATAATATACCCAACGCAATTTGCAAAATACATAAATGGATACATAGTCATTTACATAACAATATTATACTGAACATGTGTGAGGGCTTCCAAACCTGTTTCCAATAACATGCTAATAAATGCTTCTGAAATGTAAAAGTGAAGAGAATTAGCTTTCAAATAATTACATTATCTTATTGTTAAAAAGAAAACTATCAGATCGTCCTACTTTTTTAAACATGTTTTACGTCATGACTTTTCAGTTTCAACAGCATTTTATTCTCTTTTTACTATCTTTCTCTATTCAACAATACTTGTATTACCCGCAGTTTGTTACGCCTCTTTGACAAAGAGTAGCAGGCATGACTGAAGGAATAGTGCATGTTTATAGAGCATATCCAAACTTGAATTGCGCTTTTGTTCATCAGTCCCACCTGGAGACACGAGTTAACGGATGTTTTATGGTTTTCGGGCTGTGTCTTGCTTCATGAATATAAAGTATCAGTCCCCTATATTGTTGCGGGCTGCGCTGTTCAGTAAAAATACAGTCATATGAATGTCAGTGTGTCAGCGGTTTTCATTTTGTTTTGTCGTGTTGTTGTGTTGTTGTGTTGTTGTTTGTTGGGGGGTGTTGTTGTTTTTTAATAGTCTTTTTTTGTTTGTTTGCTTGCTGGTTTGTTTGTTAGTTTTGGGGCTGTCACTTGAGAAGCACACGAAAACCACAGCAGACATTTAGGGTTCTGCATAGTGTGCATTGTCTATGCTTGTGATACTGAGTATTATTCATGCACTTGTGTATGAATGCATTTCTGTAAATATATACTCTGTCACATTTTTAAGTATACACATTTTGAAGCTCAATAAAACAAAATCTATGCTACCAATTACTTTCAAATTTACACACTGATTACGTGATATACCTGTCGCTGGTGAGCTGCTTTCAGATTTCTGAACGACTGAGTGGTTTTGTAACTGCAGGCGTGTTACATGTTTCGTGTTTTTTTTGAAAATTAATCATGATACGGCAATGATTTGTTTAAAAAAGAAGCACACATCAAAGCTTTGCCATTTTTGTAACAATTCACCAGTGATAAAACTTGTCTTGTCTACGTTTCATGATGTCACGCCGTACGAGAAAATGTGCGAAATCAGCTCCATGGAATGATCCGCGGGGGGGGGTCAGTATCCACTGTTGCGAGACATTTTAATGTAACACGAAGAACTGTGTACACAACAATGGATCAGGAGAAAAATACCAAAATCAGGAAAGGATCGACACCGCCAACGTGAGAAAAGAAAAACTACTTCAAGAGAGGATCTTTTTATACGCCTGTCCCATCTACGGAGTCGTTTCAAAACGGCAAGAAGAACCAGAGATGAGTTGAATAACATGCGCAACCCCAGCCTCAGACACTTCCTCAACTTGAGAGAGCATCGCATGAAGAGTAGAATAACATCCCTCAACAGGCAGTGCAGCTATTTGTTGATTCAGGGTGGCGACGATGTCAGGTCGTCATCAAAGCTACTGATCGTGTTACTTTTGTAGACCACCCCCACACTCTTGTATGTCATGAATAAACCTGTTATGTCAACATTCCATATTGTTGTTGCTTTTTTCGTTTTTAAAATTGATTGAATTCGTATTCCTGAAATTTTAAAGAATATTGACTAATTGTGAAACTAGTTATTTTCATTTTAACACAGTGTATACTAAAAAATGTGACAGAGTATATATATGCCGTTGTAAAAACAAATTTCCTTAATGAGCCAATTAAGTGGAATCAACTGTTTTCTTAGATTTCTATTTCATAGATACATTGTATGTTCCAAAAAAGTGACGGCAATGTCGTCGTCAGTTTATCTCGGCTGTTGGGGCGATCCAAAAGCAATACGCGATGATCTTATACGGGATTGCTTGAGGGGGGAGGGGGGGTCAAACTCAGTTTTAAAATGAGACAAACTGACATCACACTTGTTGTTGTTGACCGAACTGGATGAGAGCTCAGTGGGCAGTGGAAAATTAAGCCTTTTTTGAACAACAATGTGCATAAGAATAAAAAAAAAGAAAAAGAAAAAAATACTAAGACATCAAGGCATGGTACCAATTTCACTCTTATGCCAATTTGTCAGAACTGAATGTTTGGTACCTATTATTGGCAATTAATCCGATATTGTTGCAACACTCTGTATTATGGAGATTTTCAGGATGGACTACTCAGAATTCTCTAGCACGCTGGATATTGTTCGCTGGGCAGGATGCGGTTCACGGGCTTTAGTTTGATACCTGTGATTTTTTTTGTTTAGTTTCAGTAATAGTTTTATTGCACTTGTAGCACAATAAAGTCATAAAAGTACAGAAGATTAAAGGTGTCACAAGAGAGAAACAAACACAAAAAGAGGGCGAAAGATCAGGATGATAGATGTTTGATAAGAAAGTAAGATAGAGAAAATCATACAAAAGCACCTGCTAACCACCCGCTGCATGTGATTTAAGCCTTGAGCTCCAGGTTCACCTGCTGGCACGAATATATCCGCACCCAATGTACAATGTAGATTTTAAAATATATTTATTTTTAATTTCTGGGAAATTGAGAACAATCTTTTTGAAAAGCATGCTCAAGACATGTTTTAAATGTGCAGATAATTTGTTTTTACAAATGGTGAAAATGGCAGAGGTGGGACCTCCGATTTTAAGATCCATCTCCGAAAGAACCGGGTCAAATGGGAAATCGTGTGTGCTTTTCTAAAGGACACAACGTCGGACCGAGCTGAGGCTCGAACCCTCGAGCTCACTATCTCACGATCACGAGTCCGGTAGCCTAACCACTAGGCTACCGAAGCCACTTCTAGGTAATCTTAGATATTATAAGTAACATTAGCTGATTCGTAATTGTTCTCTAGGTGGTATCCTTTGTATAGTCTGACATCAAGATGGCTAGTATAAAAAACGTTCTTGGATCTATGATTAGAGCAGTTTTCACTTTGATAGAAACAATATTCTGCATATTTCTGTATCATTCTGTTTGTACAATTTTAGAGCATCTTATTCTTTACCTGACAGGATTTAGCGTCTTGTATCTCGACTCAATATTGGGAGGATGAGCGAAACACTTAAGTGCAAAACAGTTTTTGTTTGAATTAAGTCAATTATAACTCCGTGCAAATCACAGGCTCACAATTCATAGAATTAAACACATTCAACAAACCATGTAGTACCAGAAAAGAGAAAAAAACCCATCATACTTTCCTTCCGTCAATACTATTCTGATAAGAAACAACATCATCCCTACTCCTTTTTGTCCCCCCCCCCCCCCCTTCCATCCTCTTGTTTCCCCAGCGAGGGCAGCAACCTGTGGTCAGTTCTCTCAGATGGCACAGCTATGGGAGTCAAGGTCGCCGTCTCTGTCTTGGCAAACCTCTTGTCTTTCATCTCCGTCATGTCGCTCGTTGACTGGTTCCTTGGATGGTGTGGGGAACGGGCGGGGCTGGAGGAGCTCTCCATTGAAGTAAAACTCAAATTATTATTATTGTTTATTATCATTATAATTATTATCATTATAATTATCATCATCATCATCATCATCATCATCATCATCATCATCATCATCATCATCACCATCATCAACATCATCAACATCATCATCATCATCATTGTTTTATTATAATTACTACTATAAAAAAATTTGCAGCATTTTCATTCCGAGAGCGTTCGGACGACTTTCAATTCAAACCCCAATTGACTACCAGTACACACTTGAATAAAATTAAACTCTTTCTCGAGCACAGTATTTTGTCTACGCTACAATTGTTCCTTCGTGGCAGAAATGGACGTTAAAATTGGAGGTATAAACTTATGATATGTCATTTTTGTTTTGAAGGAGGCGTTAAGCATGATAAAGAAACAAGATCTAAAATCTGGAAAGAATAATGTCGTGGTATTTGCATAGATTCTACTGTAGAAAATGTTATTAAGAACAAACTGCAAAAGCATTAAATTGGACTTAAAATGGACTCACTAAAGGGCGTGTCCTTACCGTAAATTTCGTGGTTTGTCAGTTTGAAACAAAGCTCTATAAAACGGCGTTTTGGTAATAAGTGAAACGAGAAATAATAGGGGGAAAATTAAATTTTACTTTTAAAATGTGTTGCATATACGAAAAGTCTGTTTGTTTGCTTAACTTACAGCGTTGTTTATGATTTTGTTTTTCGTCAGTTTCTGTTTTCCTACCTCTTGTGGCCCCTTGCATATGCCTTGGGAACTGAGCCGGCCGACTGCCCTAAAATGGGCAGACTCATAGGAGTGAAGCTCGCCACCTCACCTTTGGTGGCTTTTACACAGATGGGACAGATGAAGAGGGTAAATAACTCCTGCTGAAATCAGCCCCCCCCCTTTCCTCCCTTTTTATTAGTTGCACACAGATTGACACAGACACACACACACACACACACACACACACACATACACACACACACACACACACACACACACACACACACACACACACACACAGACAGACAGACACATACACACTCACACACCGTTATATTGACCCAATACTTGTACACACGGTAAAATTGTCTTTCTGCTGAACATAATTTAACCCTGCTAGCCCATACCAACATGTAAATTCGTAATGGTTTGGCAGGAATGCAAAACATCGTCATCGCAGTTTTTAAAAAAACCCAAAAAAAGAAGCAAACAAAACCACAATACTATATCTAGTTTATTTATGACCTGTTACTTCATGAGGGATGGAGATGGTTGTAGATGATGGGGACAACTCCTCAACGACCCCTTTTCCTCTTGCTAATCTGATGAGTGCTTTCCATTTGCTGTCACCTTTTACTATTTCAGAACCGGGAGGAGCTGGGGGCATATCTCGCAGATACTGGGGGAACCGGAGCCTGGCACTGGGAGGGAAATCACGTGGTCCTGGATGCTTCCAACAAGACTTTGATTTTGGGAATAATTTCGGTCAGTGAAAGAATAGGTTGCAGTTGTTTTCACCGCGAACATGTCTGTTTCTGTCTTCCATTTTTCAACTTCTTAGTCATGCTCTTTGAAATGGAAGTTCTCAAAAGGGCAAACACCGAGTCTTTTCTGAGCTAAAAAAGACTCAACTTCGCATTGCTAGTCATGCATTTAGAATCCTAATGGCTGTGTTCTATTCTGAACAGTCCTCAGGGAAGCAAAAGGTTTATGTACTAAAAGGCGCTACAAGAACACCCTGATAATGTCTCTGAAAGACTGCTACATGAATTCACCGACATGGGACAACCTAGCTCTTTACAAATCCAACTGGAAAGCAGCAGTCACAGTGGGCAGTAAATCATATGGGTCTTCACAAATAAGAAATGCTGAAACCAATAGAGAAACCTGCACGCTGCACACATCCTCAAATGGAAGTTGAGCTTTCATATTTTCAAAATGTGGCTAGTTTATTTCTACCATAGTTGGTCTCATCGGCCACACAGAAGCCACAAGTCACCTTATCCTTTCATTCTTCGAATTCTTCTATCTCGCTGGAGAAATATTTTCATCTGCAGATGTATTGGTCACCATCAGACATTGACAGACGAGCTATTATCACCATTATTATTATTATTATTATTATTATTATTATTATTATTATTA